AGAGATAGGCAATTGGGTAACTCTAGCTAATATGGCTTGACATTTGGCACAATGATGGCCACATCTTCAATTTGAAGACTTGGCCAACACCCCCTCCTAGCTTCCTCCATTCTCGACCAAACCCTCTCTCTCTCTCTCTCTCTCTCTGTAACTTTCTCTTTCTCTTTATATATCTATACATACACACATATGCCTCCATGATTTGAAGCCAAACTCGAGGGGTTTAGGGTGGGATTTTGTTAAGACCATAGAAGGGAAAGTTGGAGTGCTTGGCAAGAGTGCACTTTTATTTGAGACCAATCTTGCACATACTTGGAAAATTTTGAATTTGGGGGCTAGCTAGGGCTGGTTTAGCTTGCTTCATTGAGGTATAGATTTCTAATGCCTCAAACTTTGTCATTTATTGAGTAACCTCATGTGATTCTTCATTTACTTCATATTGAATGCAAGTTAGTGAGTAAGTTGTTAGTTGAATGATAGTGTAAAGAAAGCATTTTTGTGTATGGTATAAAATGTGCCTTATGTGCTAAGTGTGATGTATGATACTTTTAGATTATAAGAATGCTAAATTTCAAATGTTTGAATGGCTATGATGAAGGAATTTTAAATAATGAGCATGCTTGTGTTTGATTTCTAGAAAATGCCATGCTTATGCCATTGTTGTTATATAAGTGAAATTGAAGCTAAGTTGATGCAATTGATTCATATGTATGACATGGTGGGAAGGTTGAATGGGTATGACAAGTAAGTCAAAGTAAAAAGGTTGTGAAACGGATTTAATAAAAGAACTGGATTTCAAGAGTCCGGTGTTAACTTGACCTAGAGGGAGTGCATGCCGAGTATAATACGTGTAACATTGATTACTAGGCCCCAAATGGTCGTCGGAATTGAGGCCAGGGATTGCTAATCAATCTCGCCTCAATAAAATCGGTTAGCAGTTTTTGGGTGAGTTAGGTCGATTTGGGACCAAAGTTGTGTTGGTATGCATTACATTGCATTTTCATGCACGCTTATGAGAAATTGTAAAGATGATGTTATTCATTTATTTTGTAGAAGGCATTGTAATTAAGACCTTAAGGGTCTCTAACTTGTAAACTTATTATTTTGGGATGATATTTTGTATAATTTGGGCATGTAAGTGATGAGGATGACAACTATGTTCATACGTTGAAGTTTTTGGATGATATGCAATTTAATAATGTATTTTGAACTATTATAACGTATGGATGTTATTTTGGAAGTGTATCTATGTTTTTATGGTTGCTTTGGGGCAGATTTTAAGTTGTATGGAGGTATCAATTGTCATAAAATCCACGTAGGAACCAACCAAAGCTTCCCTGGAGGTCCATGGAGATTTTTTGGGTTCTACTCGATCGATCGAGCCTTCCATACTTAGAAAAAAATGAGAAAATCTTAAATTTCATGCTCTCTGTCCCACCTTTCGAGTTTGGACTCGATCAATCGAGTTGGGACTCGATCAATTGAATTAGGCTCGATCGATCGAGCATTCTTACATGTTCACTGGTTGTTAACCAAAACTTCGAATGGCCACAACTCCCTCATTTCCAAATTGGGTCGTTCTTGAGTTTAAATTGGTCAGTTCGAAGTCAAATTTCCAATGATGTCAACCCCATACTCAAATTCCAATCACACGTATAGTGCATTATAACTATTTTAGTGAAGAGGTGTCAGAGAATCCTCCAACCCGGGAGTGGATAAATGTAAGAAACTATACCTATTGCTATTGGAAACTTATAGAATGGAATAAATTAGTTAATGTAATGTTAGAGAGCCCCATTTGACTACTCATAGTCAACTCTTCCCCATATTCCCCTTGAAATGACCATTTTGTTCTTATGTGTCCTCGAGTCCGGGCAGAACCCAGATTCGGACCTCCAAATTTGGATTGTTACTTGAACAATCTTTGATATAATTTCGTCCTAAAAAGGAATATTTCTGATTGAGGGGACAATGTTGCAACAACCAAAAACCTTAGGGGGTTTTATGGCAACTTTTTTTTTTTTTCTGTTTAGAGTTTAATTAGAGGGGAATTTTATGCAATTTATCCTTAAAAAAATAAGAAAGTGATATATTTCAAGACCTCACAAACCCAGTTGAGCGAAGAGCTGAAATTTCTTGTTGTAACGTTGTTGAAATATACCTATAATAATAACTCGAATTTGGTAGCTGTAGGTGTCCTTCCCAAATCCCAAGTTTGGCATGTTTAGAAAAGGACAACTTAAATGACTAACTGGCATGCCCCTGCCTTATTGCCTTGGCGTTGTCAACTTATTCACAAGTGTCTGACATCTGCTTTATATATGTAAACAAATAAATTCCGCTTTTAATGGACTAAGAAAAAAATATATATACATGCTCCTAACCTGGTGATTAGTCTGGACTAATTATATACTCTCTAGATTCCTAAATTAATTGTTTCTTGTTTTATTGTTGGTTGTTCTAAAATTTATGTTACACTTAATAAGGTAAATTAAAATATATGTAAAATTTAAGTTTTGTAATTTTTTTGAAGCTCGACAATATAAATATTTAAATTAAAATTGACTTAAAAGTTTTAAAAATATAAATAATACACTATATGTGGTGACATTGTGAGTGAGTGTCTGTGAGCGTTTGCATGTGATACTAATAGACTAACACACTGAGTGAGTTACAGGTTTAGGTGTGAAAGGGACAAGTGTTATAGGTAGATTCAACATTTTTTGATGACACAACGCGTTTTAAAGTCGAGATGGTCGTGAACCTACCGGAACTCTAAAGTTAAGCGTACTTAATCAAAAGCGAACAATATTGTGTATGGATTGTTAAAATGATTTTTCATATATATTTAATAAATTAATAATTTTGCAACCATATTGATGCGGTCCAATGAAAAATTGACACATTCTCTTTAATTATAAAATTTATGAAAAATTGACACATTCTCTTTAATTATAAAATTTTAAAAATAATAATAAACACCATTTGCTTTCTTGATTTACTTTTTTGTCCGTCAAAATCTTTCAAATTGAAGGGCCAACCTACTCAAGACCATCTTGAAATGGTGGGGTTAAGAATCATTTTTCTCATTCTTATCTTTTTATTGATAATTAATAATTGATTTTTATCATTTTTCTTTGTTTTGCTTTAGTTATTGAAATGGACTTTACTAAACCTGAGTTTTGCTTTGGAGTGAGAATGAACGATGATCCATAGTCATCTATGGTCGCGTGCGTTTTTTGCCAATTTGGGGTGTGTTATGTCGGCAACAAACAAATGGAGATATTAAATAACAATCATTCTTATTTATTCACTCTCTTAATGCCTTTTTCAAATCGGTCCAAGAGATGGACCATCCAAAAAAAACCAACCATCCATATCACCATCACATGGGTCCCAACAACATGATTGGACTTGGCTATTATTATTCAAAGGGCATCCATCAACTACGCGCCAAATAACGTGGAGACATAGACAATCTGTCTCTCAAGAGTCTTGGCTTCGTTTCAATATATTATCAAAATTGCGATTAATCGCGATCATGGTATAATAAATTTGAATGAACATTATTATAAATTTGTCAATTTATAAAAATATGTAATAATATTAAATTTTCTAAAAAAATATTCAAATTGACTAACCGTGTCGACTGATAGTGCAAACTATGAATGTATAAAAAATACAAAAAGAAAAAATAATAATTTTAGTTGCAAAAAAAAAAAAAAAAAAAAAAAAAAAAAAAAACCATAACCTCCGTTCATATTTGGATAAATTTTAAAGGAAAATAAATAAAATAATAATGTTCTCGTTTGGAAGAGATAGAGGAGAGAAAATAAAATAAAAGAAAACAATCAAATTTAATACCCTTTTATAAGATAAGACTCAAGTGTCCTAACATGTTCTTTCTTTTAATTGTTTACTTAACTAGTGTCCTTTCTCTCCAACAGCACATGTATCATTACAAATCTCTCCCAATCTTTTCTTTTCTCTCCTTTTCTTTTCTCTCCAAATCCCTCCACATCCTTCAATCCAAAAGGAGCCTTAATACAAAAAATCTACTCTACCTATGTTTGGTGTATAAAATCAGCGTCTTCAAGTTTGAACTTACTCATCTTTTCTTCTTTTTACAAAATCCAATTTCATGACACCGATTTTATACAAATGATTAGTATATTTAATAATTTGATATAAATAATGTCAGTACAAGTAGTAGCATTATGGAAAATTACGTTCCAAAACGGAGTGAAAACTGCCAATTTTCTACTTATCAGTCATATCAACTCTGCTATTCCGAAGAAGTACAGGTATTAAGGATGTGAATTAGAGTGTCCTAGTTTGCAAGAACATCCAGCTTCTTCGTTCGGGTGTGCACATCTTCGAGTCCTCCCTCCCCTAGTTTACAAGAATTAAAAAAATAATAATAATAAAATTAAATTAAAAAGTGTCTAAAATCCTCTATCTTGTGCTCAAATTAGGATGCAAATGAATGCAGATCAGATCATCTGCTCAAGTTAGTATGCAAATGCATGATGATATCTACATGATGTGTGTGTGTGTGTGTGTGAAAAGAAAAAAGAAACAAGAATTATCAGGTTGACAAAACAGAGTCCAAGGGAAGAGATGAACAAGTTCTTAGTCAATTTTGATCAAACACACATAATTGCATAGCAACCTATTGGTTGGTACTCACACACACTTGTCTCTTTTGAGACTTGAACCCCTGACCTCCTTTTGGGAGGTAAGAGGTGATACCGCTAGGTCACTGGCCCGTTGATAAATACAAACAATTTCAATTCCCAAATAATGACTATTCCTATACCAGCGCGGGAAAATAAACACATTCATACTACATTAAAAAGAAGAGACATCCCAGCAGTGTCTTATACACATCACTGATAACATCCTCTTGAATAAAGATGTACTACTATTTATTCCCCAAAAGGAATGTAAACAATTCAATTAATGGTGATTTTTAAAATGTCTATTCTGGTTTACATTCCTCCTACAAACAGTAACATTAAATAATGGTTCAATGTTCTGCCATAAAGAATACAATACAACTGAACGAAATCGAAGATGTAAATACATTATACATTTCATAAAAAAATCCATGATTACTCAAATAAAGACTCAAAAATTAAATCAAGCCCAATAAAAGCTTCCAAACTGAATCAAACGAAAAAAAAAAAAAAAAAAAACCGTAGTTGAGCCTCTGGTTTCTACTACATGAAATGACAAGGCAGCCTTCCTCAGTTGTTACTCTTTGATCCGAAATATGACAAAGGCAGCTTTCTTCAAATGTTTTAAGAGGGCAACTCTGGGGGGAAAAGTCAGCCTTCCACATGTTGATAAAACATTAAAAACATATCATGCAAAAGCTTCAACAAAATTGTGTAATGATGTCACAATTGTAACATTAAATGCTTCATCCAACAGAAATTGCAACTTGTGAAAATAACTATTCAAACAACTGAAAAGAATATATAATGGGCTATAATCTGTCAGTATAACAATGGCATTTTGGGCAGCTTCCATATCCATAGCAATATCTTGGTTTATACCTATAATAGAACTCTAATGGAGTTCTATTAAATATTATAGACATATTGTTGAAAAGGTATTGATATATGCTCGTGTACGAGAGCAAACATGATGCCTAAGTTTATACCCCCCACACAGGGCGGTACTAACATTCAGCATTAGTAGTGGCATTCTTAGCATATGTGGAGTAGTCATCTATATCATAACATAACACCTATATCTATTTAATGGTTGTCCATAACAGTTTAGAACTCCATAGTAAAGAATAAATAAATAACACCACATTTTTTCATCACCATTTCAATCGATTGACAACTACTAAACATCAAATGGGTCATTTTGAACGGAAAAAGAGAATAAAAGTAAAAAAGAAATCTTCCATATGACTGAATGACCAATCATTAAGCTACATTCACAGACTGCCATATAGTAGTGACATAATGGAATCCTAATGTGAGAGAGAGAGAGAGAGAACAATCATGACATATTATATGATCTTAAGAAATTCTCCGGGTTTCTTTCAAGAGGAAATCAAGAATTATGATGGTCACTTTTAAAACAGTTACAGGCAAACACACAATGGAGTAGCATGGCTCTGAAATCATCCGTCAACAACCTCCCAAAAAGAAAACTAACATATATCTTCTTGATTAACAGAACAATGGAATGAGCAAACATCAAGGTCCTTTTCATAGCAGACCTTAACATTAAGGTCCACTTACATCTCACCTTGATCTCAAGGTCCCTCCACATCTCACCTTGATCTCAAGGTCCCTTCACCTTACCTGAAATGCTAGACATCACCCCAACCTCTAAGATCCCATAAACTATAATTCTAGATTTCTAGACCATTTATTAGATAGTTAGACGTAGTTTAACCCAGGATTAGGCCTTGAACCCATCGAGTCTATGATGATCTCTACAGTGCCTCTCTCTCTCTCTCTAAGTCAGCCTCAGCCTCCATCCTAGCCCAGTCCACCTGGGAGGGTGGGATTTCTATGTTATTCTCTCTCATAATCCTATAAATCAACCCACAATGTGCATTCTCTTGATGATCCTAATCTTCCAAATAAATATCTATGCATATATGTTCATAAGATATTCATGCTATACAAGTATACACAAAGGAAAAAACAAAAAAAAAAACCATAAAAACAAAAGACTTAAATGACATATCTGATAGACCTAATAGCTTAGAATTCAAAATTAACCCTTAGATCTTATTGTTCGGACTTTAAATCAGCAGATCCAACTTCCAATGTGAGTTAAGGAGTCTCAGAACTCAGAAGAGACTTTAAGAAAGTAAATGAAGCACGAAAATTGAGGTGCAAAATGCCCACACCTTAGCCTCAGAAGATTATTATTTTTTTTTTTTTTAAGGAAAAAAAAAAAAAAAAAAAAAAAATGAAGACTCAGATGGCATATTTGAAAGACCTAATAGCGTAGATTTGAAAAATAACCCTTAGATCTTATTGTTCCAACCTCTGAATTAGCAGATCCAACCTCCAATATGAGTTTGGGAGTCCCAGAAAAGAGTTTAAGAAATTAAAAACTGAAAAGGGGAGAAAATTGTGGTCTAATATGCCCAGACCTTAATTTTTGTTGTTCCTGTGAATTTTGTGCTCACAAATAAATTGGTCCATAACTGAGTTGGTGAGCTCCAAACATAACGATCGATATATTATTTCTATGGTTGCACCGTGAAAATATGCCCTGTCAAATTGACAAGATAAGAGTTGTCATTAGGAATCAATAGTTGATATGACTTTTATTGTGATTGAAGTTTCACCAAGAAAATATATGTATAAATATATAATTGAATCCTTGATAAAAACTGCATTTAAAAACAATGCTCTTTGACTCACTCCACACTGTTAGACATGCAAATGAGTCCACAATTTCACAAGTCAGATAATTTCCAGCCCACAGACATTTAAGCTATCACATACACATACACACAGATTCTTGGTATATAAAATTTTAATATATGAATCAAATATACTTCTGTAATTCTGATCTGCTCATGGTTTATGTACATATAGGGAAACAGGAGGAAAATAATTTCTTTGAAACAACAACAATAAAAATGGTATCAGCTGATTGAAACAAGAAACAAGAAACAAGAAACAAGTGATGGGAACACGTAAATAACTTTTAAGTGACATACAGTAACTATCTTAGCCTCTGATCCAAGTTCTAAATGTTATTTTCCTAGAATAACTTCCTTCCTCGTACCTTCCACACACTGTTATAAACCAACCTAGACACCCTTAGTGGGCAATTTGCACCGTCAACTGTATTTAATGAAACATATGTGGAAATTGCCGTCAACCTAGACACCCTTAGTGGGCAATTTGTACCTTCCACACACTGTTATAAACCTCCCTCAGTCCATGTTCATTTTAGCCTTCCTCAGTCTCTGTTCATCTTAGCCTTCCTCAATACTTATTGATGGTGGAGATGAAAGTCAATAGCAGTTCTACTCCAAATTGATGATACTCCAATGGAATATCGTACCTCTGTTTCCTTATATTTTTCCTCAGTGTATTCTTCCTCTTGTTTTGTTATAAACAACGTCAATATTTTTTTCCATCATTCATCCCAATCCTTGGCATCAGAATTGAAGTCATTTTACATAAATTCATTTAATATTCAGCAAAAGGAAAAAGTGATGATTAACGAACAATAACAGACAGTGAATCCAGAGAACGCTCTCCAAAAAAAATACTCTCTCTATCCCAAAATGAATGTCTCTTTTGGTGATGATTAACGAACAATAACAGACAGTGAATCCAGAGAACGCTCTCCAAAAATAATACTCTCTCTATCCCAAAAAGAATGTCTCTTTTGGCCCCAAAAGAGACATTCGTTTTGGGACAGAAAGAGTATAATTTTTTAACGAAAACACCCAAAAGGATATGGGATCTCTTCCCTGTAGAATTCTGAATAAAAACAAGTAATTTAACTTCTGAAAGGGTAGTTCAGCAAATGGCTAAAAGTTCTAGCACAATTTCAAGACATAGGCAGTGACCCCATGGTTACTAAAATCTCATTTTGGACTAAGATCCGATGATCCTTTTATCCAAAAATACCACATTGATTCCAATCCCCAACACCCCCCACCCCCCCCAAAAAAAAAAAAATAAACAAACTAGATAGAATCCTTAAAAAATCAATATAAGATCGCAGGACCCATAAAAACCCAAGTTGACTCCCATTTCTATCAATCTTGTTGCAAAACTTTATAAAGTTATTTTTGTGCTCCTTTTAGTGGTGAATTAGAACCTGATACCCTAATAATTCTAGAACAAAGAGTCAAAGACAAAACCACATTTAGATAGACGTCCTAAGCAAGAAATTTATATCCACACTTTTTTTTTTTTGTCACTTTGACTCTGCAAGAGTGCTTCTAGTTGGCTTTAAATTAGAAACTATTTCACCAACATATTTAGGCCAATTCATTCCTAACTTTGAATAGTATGAGTTTAAATTGTTTCCTACCCTTTCTTCATTTTTGTTTTTAATTGGTGATTTTTCTCCAACAATTAATGGAAAAGGTCATACGATTTTACTTTAAAACACTACTTCAAGCTATTGATTTTTATCTTCCCAAACCAATCATTCTATTATCTAAAAAAAATTCAGTACTCGTTTTTGCTTTCCCCTATGTCATAGACTTAGTTACAGAACCCTCTCATGCCTGAATCACCTGAGTGTATTAAAACAGAATATTTTTTTATAAGTAAATTGATTTTTTTAACCTTACATTTCACATATAATATTGTTACATGCTATCACAGATTCACAGATGGTTGTTTTGTGCTGATAAACTTCTTATTTGTGTGGTTGTTGATGTGCTCCTCTTTAAAATCTTATGTGTTTCAATTTTTTTTCTTCATTGTTTTATATTCTTTTAAGAGCTTTAGACTTGTTTGTGGTGTACTTTTAATATGCATAACTATTATTGGGCTTTTTTTTTTATAAGGACATTATTATTGTCTTTTTACAAAATCTTACAATTTGATCCTAAGATCAAATCCTGAAAACTCCTTAGTGATCCAACATCTCGCTTTCGACAACTTTCAGTAAACAGAAGGTAAACACAGAAGTACAAGAAAGGTCCTGGAAGAAGGCAAGGCCGTACTAAATCTCATGTTCGTATACAAATTGGGGAACATGGCTAAAGTATTTAAGCAGCAGAAAATTAAAACATGGGAAAAGCATGTACCATTTCTGGATTAAAATACTGTGCATGTCAATTTTCACAAAGACGTATTAAAAGGGCAAAGCAATTTGGTGGGAGGATACCATCATTGTTGAGAAAACCAATTTGGCCTTCCCCATAGAATTCTGAATAAAAACACGTAATTTATCTTCTGAAAGGGTAGTTCTGCAAATGGCTAAAAGTTCTAGCACAATTTCAAGACATAGGCAGTGAGCATGATACTACTACCTTGGTTGATAAAATCTCATTTTGGATCTAATATCCAATTATCTTTTTATCCAAAAATACTGTATTGATTCCAATCACACAAAAAAAAATTAAACAAATAACGATAAAAAACTAGGGTAGAATCCTTAAAAAATCACTATAAGATCGCAGGATCCATAAAATCTATCAATCTTGTTGTACACCTTATAATGTTATTTTTGTGTTCCTTTTAGTGGTCAATTAAACCCAATAACATAATAATTCCAGAACAAAGACAAAAACACATTTAGACGCCATAAGCAAGAATTTTATATCCATTTTTTTCCCACTTTGACACTGCAAGAGTACTTCTAATCCGCTTTAAATTAGTAACTATTAGTCTATTTCACCAACAAATTTAGGCCAGTCCATGACTCCATTCCTAATTTTGAATAGTATGAGTTTGATTGTTTCCTTCCCTTTCTTCATCTTTGTTTTTAATTGGTTGTTTTTCTCCAACAACTAACGGAAAGGGTCATAAGATTTTACTTTAAAACACTACTTCAATCAATTGATTTTTATCCTCCCAAACCAATCATTCTCTTATCTACACAAATTTTAGCACTTTTTTTTGCTTTTCCCCTATGGCATAGACTTAGTTACAGACCCTCTCATGCCTGAATGGCCTGAACATATTCAAACAGAGTATTTTTTATAAGTAAATTGATTTTTTTAACCTTACATTTCACATATAATATTGTAACATGCTATCACAGATAGTTGTGAGAAAATTAAACTTTTTGGTGCTAATAAACTTCTTATTTGTGTGGGTGTTGATGTGCTCCTCTTTAAAATCTTATATGTTTCAAATTTTTGTCTTTATTGTTTTATATTCTTTTAAGAGCTTTAGACTTGTTTCTGGTGTACTTTTAAAATTATTGTCGTTTTACAAAATCTTACAATTCGATCCTAAGATCCAACCCTGAAAACTCTTAGTGATCCTACATCTCGCTTTCAACAACCTGGCACTAAACAGAAGGTAAACACAATAATACAAGAAAGGTCCTGGTAGAGGGCAAGGCCATACTAAATCTCATGTTCCTATACAAATTGGCGGAACATGGCTAAAGCCTAAAGTTTTTAAGCAGCACAAAACTAAAACATCGGAAAAGCATGTACCATTTCTGGATCAAAATACTGTGAGTGTCAACTTTCACAAAGACGTATTAAAAGGGCAAATTAATTTGGTGAGAGGATACCATCATTGTTGAGAAAACCAATTTGGCCTTCCAAAATGCAGCCAGCCCATCAGAAAATTTTGGTCTTTGACATTTTGTGCATATTCAGAGAAAAATCAAACCACCAAATCCGTACATTTTAGAGCATTTGAAGTTCATCATCCCTAATAACTAAACGATTGCAATAGCCACTTCTTCAGGACTTCCATCTCTTCTCAATTTTCTCAAATGTAACCTTTAAATGATGAACAGACACTCTATTATAATTCGAATTTTCCCCAAAACACAACTTAATCATGTTTGCCTTAATTCAACTTCTTCTTTTTATATCAAAAGTATGCCTCATCTTCTTCTGTTTCCTCATCATCACTATCCAACAGAAAATCATCCTCATCATCATCCTCCTCATCATCATCACCACCACCACGAGATTGGTGAACCCGAATCCGGCCATTATCTTCCTGATTCATTACCCCTCTTGTCCAGTCTTCCTCTTCCTCTTCCCCCTCAGAAAATGCTGAAGTTCTCACCCCATCAAAGTTCCTACTTGTCGTGACAAGTTGGTCCATTACACTATCTAAATTCCTTTCTGCACTAACTCTCCCGTCAAAGTCAAAATGTGTCGTCGAAAACGGCTCATCAGCATCACCAACAATGTAGTCACTTCTCCTCCGGCTCCTAGCCACCAACTCTTCAGCTGAAACCTGCCCGTTTTCAATCCCAATCCACGGAACCCACAAATCAGCATTCCTCCCCAATGACCTGTGGCCATCACCCACAACCACAGTCCTCAAATTGGCCTCCCTTGCCTTCCTCAACATCTCTGAGAAATCTGAATCGTCGGAAACCAAGAACAACCAATCAATCCCCCTACTCATACTATGCTGCATTTGCCTCTTCAAAGCCCAATCTGCCGCCTGTGGCTTATCTTCCACTGTCTTCACATAAACCCCGGCACGCCTCAGCTCGGAGGCAAGTCCATACCCAACCTTGGGAGTGACCAAAGTCCTCGCAGCCTCATTGTACTTGCGGTTACCATCTATGAACCTTTGCTTGTAACGCTGTCGTTTCTTGCCCTTCAACGATTTCATTCGATTCAGCTTCTTCTGGCGCTCACGCTCGTGCAATTGCCTGAAGTGCTTCTTGAGGTCCATATTGGTTGAGAACTTGCGGCCGCACACGGCGCAGACGTAGGGTTCCGGCGACTTCGCGACGCCCTTCCGCTCGAGGACGTCTTGGTGGCGGCGCTGGCGGCGTTCCTCGAGGACCCACTGGGGGAGGTGGACGAAGGCGTGGCGATTGGCGTAGGCGGAGAAGTCGACGACCTCGCCGAACTGCTGCGCCACCTGTTTGAGGGCCATCGCCGCCTGGTACGGCGGGCCGCGGGGTGGCTTGTTGTCTAGATCCCAGAGGACCACCACTTTCCTGGGTTTTGCCGCGTAAACCCCCTCTTTGTTCCTCACCATGTCGATGTCGATGTCGGACATGGCTTTGATTTGCCATTTGGGTAGAGCCGAGGAGGGGATTTTGTATATGAGGCAAAGAGGAGAAGTTTTGGATTTTGTGGTTGGAGTGAGAATGTGGAACTGGGTTTTGTGGGGGAGGAGAGGAGAGGTTAACAGAGAAGAAGAAGATGATAAGGGTTTGAGAGAGAAGTTATGAATTGAATTGCAGAGTGAATTCATTGTTGTCTAGAGGAAATGAGTGGTGTCATGTGAGAGAAGATTGTTGGGACACCAAGACGAGTGTTTGGTTTTCTTCCATCGCTTCTCTCTTTTGGAGGGTATATTGTTTTAGGATAAGGGAGTATCTTCCAGGACTGGGAGTGCAACTCGGGTGGGCTTAATCCGACCAATCTATTTCGAAATTTTTTGAACTTGGACTGTGTAAATTATAATTTGGTCCGAGCTTAGATTGAAAATTAACGGTTCGATTTCATTTATAGGACCAAACTCGGATTTACTGTGTCGGGCAACTCAAAATCCAACTTGTTGAACTTGTCTCGAGTTATAAAATGGGATGAATCCGAATAGTGAACTCAATATATATAAAATATATGTGTATATATATTTGTGTTAGTAGCATGTGATTAATTATTTAGAGGACTCATTTGGTGGTAACTTAATAATTTTTGATAAATTTGTTATTAAGTCATGTTAATATATAATTAAAAAAAAAAATTATGGTTGATTCATTTACTATTACAACAAGTTGAATGTTAACTCGAAATAATAACTTAAATTGAAAGTTTGAATCCAACCTAAAATTTTAGATCAAATTATAAGTTCGAATTTAACTGGAGTTTAAAAAAGTAAGAATAAATTAAAATGGGGTTAAACTGGGTTAAGGCTGATCGTTTCTTAGTTTGAGTGGCCTCTAACTTGCCGAGTTGTACACCCAATTTGGTCTATCCCAATTTTAGTTGAGCATTTAAGCAACAAGTGATAAGTCATCATCAAAATTTATCATGACAAAGAATGCCATTTTTAACAAGTTTTGGTGCATTTTATTTTACCTCTCTTAAAAAAAAAATTAAAATTGGAAATGAATTTCGGAAGATAGTAAAAATAAATAAAATAATGAAAATTGCTTTAATTTAATAATCAAAATATGTATTTTTGTTAGAGTCTACTTTTGTTGTTTTTCATGATAATTTAAATTTTGAATTATAAAGTTAAAAAACAATTCGTTATTATGATTATTAAGTGTTTGTTTATAATTAGATTTTTTTTAAACTTTATCATGCATTTAGCAAATATTGAAATTTTTCTTAAAAAATAATAATAATGATATAGTTTCTTTCTGTTCTAAATAATATTGGAGTTTAAAGTTTCACAAAAAAAAAATAATAATAATAATAATAAATAAAATAAAAATAACATTTGAGAAGACATGAAAAAGGTAATGAAATGACATGTAATAATAGAAAATTTTAAATTTTCTAAATTCCATGGTAATCAAGGAGTGTTATTTTCAAATAGAACCTCATAGTAGACATGTCAATGGATCGGATTCGAATCCGGTCCGATTATCTGGATCTGAATTGAAAAAAAATTCGATTATCTGGATCTGAATTGAAAAAAAATTCGATAATCCGTTAATGATCTAAATCCGATAATCTGTTTCCTTAACAAATCGGATATGAATTATAAGGAATCCAATCCGATAATAATCCGATTCAATTAAAATTATATATATACATATATGTTAGTTATCTACTAATACTATTACATTTTAGTTATATATATATATATATATATATATATATATATATATATATATATATATTAGTTATTTATTATTACATTTACAAATACTAATTATTTACTACTATATTTATTTAGTTGTGCATCATCATCTATATATTAACAATTCTCCACTCCATCTAATCTTATAAATTATACATGCTAAGACTGAGTATAATTTTAATTCGAATCTGAATCCGAGCTAAATAGGATCTGGATTGATACATTTAATCCGATAACTCGTTAGCGATTCGAATCCGATAATTCGTTAACTTAACAAATTGGATATGGATTTAATCGATCTAATCCAAATTCGATCTGTTGACAGGTCTACCTCATAGAGCTTCCATATTTTAAATAGGCCAGAAGAAAAATTCCTCAAAATTGGAAAACAACACAAGATTAAGGACAATATTGTGAGTAAGTGATTCCTACAGACTATTGATGCATGTGGTCCAATCACAAATGCGCACATGGTTTATAATTTCCAAAGGACAATACTTAAGTCCTCACCAGTGAGGATGCTAAAGTGGTCTAAACGAAAATCAGCTTATGAAATTGATCTCTGTTGGGGTTAAATATTTTTGTATATATTCGGCTCCATATATAAATGAATAATTTTGAAAATTTTCTTACAAATATATCGATTGTTCAAGGAAATGGTGCCAGAATGAACTAAGTCGATTCTTTTGGGAAACAAGTCGACTCGGTTGAAGAAAGAGTCGGCTCCTGATTTTAATAGGGATTCACACCGATTTGGAAATTTAACTCACCCAAAACACGTCGAAAATATTCCAAATCAATTTCTAATCATTTTAGAACCTGAATAAGGGTTCTAAAGCTTTACACATAAGATTGGTAGCTACAAGTATAGAAGGAAAAAAATAAATTATGTTTCTTGTTTAATTGAGGCAAGCCTTTTAGAAAATAGTGCTACCATGATGTGGTTAAAGTTCACAGGAAGAGTTCGATCGATCGAACTTCCACCTGCATCCAACACTTAGAAAAAAATTTTACCTGCATCCACCTGCATCCAAATCACCTCTCTGTCCCATCGTTCGAACTTATTCTCAAATCGATCAGGAGATCTTCAATCGATCCAACTTCAAAGTTCGATCAATCTCATGATTCAACACTTAGAAAAATTTTGAGCCTGCATCAACCTGCTGAAATATGCTCTCTGAAGAAGTGTCAGATAGAATGTTTGAAGGCACATTGGTGGGACCAGCAGGATGGGCCTCAGCAGAATGATCCACAGGGGTGTCTCTACACCTAATGCCCTAAAGCAGTCCGGTTTGAGAGTCATTGACCTAACGCTCGCCACATGGATCTTCTAGAAAGCTTAAGAGACCAGATGGTCTTAAGGCATTAAGTGTTAAAACACCCCTTAGGACTTAATTGTTCAAGTAATCTAGGCAACCTAAACCCCTTATGTAACAAGCTTTCAGCCAATGACTCCCAGACTAGACGATCTTAGGGCATTTAGGTGTACACCATCTGACCGCTGATGTGAACCAATTACATATAGACATATCCTCTTTAATTACCAAATCAGAGAGCTAGGGTGGGGTACATACTTACTTACCAAATTAAAGATAATAAATTAATTACCATATCACCCCATGGGCATAAAGGCGTTGGCAGGGATCCAAGAGGTAAGTTCAGGAGGTCTCGCTTTTGAACCGCACTCTGACTTGAATGGTGCGTGTATTGTGAGGCCGATACACTTACTCTAAGAAGAAAAAAAAAAAATTTAATTACCATATCTAATTTGGTAATATTAGACAATACTTAAGTCCTCACTAGTAAGAATCTATAACATACTTAATGAACACGTCCTATTTTAATTAGGGATAATTCTAAAAAAATGATGTTTTGGTGGTCAAATGCCAAAAAAGTGGAATCAAACTCAATTTTTTCAAATTAATGGAATTTTATTAAATGATGACTTGGACATAAAAGTTTACAGTAGATTTTCTATTAATTTCTAAATTGCCCTGAGGCGAATCTGGGTTTGACCTCAAAGGACTAGACTACCCCTCCCTCTTTCTCAGAAACACTCGGTTCTCAAAGAATTTATTATTACGAGAAACCTAAAACATAGTCAATCCAACCTGCCGCTGCCACTCTCCACTCTATCTCTATCTATCTTATCACCACCGGTCCCCCTTCTCTCTCTATCTCTCTCCATCAACACCACCATCTAGTGTATGCCACAAAAATCTTAACCCAAGGGTTGAATTAAAAAAAACACTAAAAAATGATTAAAATTAAAATTAAAAAAAAAAATTACTAAAAATTGATCAAAAGAACTTCACCACCACTGATTTGTCGGCCCAACAAAACCACCACCTACCCAACACCAATACTAAATCATTTGTCGTCACCTTGCTGGCACCACCTCCTCTCTCGCTACAGCTATCGGAGAACCATATGAGAGCGTGATAACCTCTTTGACAATTTCAAGTAGGGGTTGAAATGCAACTCTGCTAAGAATTGCACAAAGGACTCTAGATTTTAGGGACACGTGTGGGCTTTCAAGAAATGATGCAAATTGTTGTTGTTGTTGCAAATGTGATATTGGGATTTGTGATGATGATTGGATGGTCTTAGGTATGTGTTTGAAATTTTCAACCATGCGCTCCATGGAAATTTCTTATTAAATGGGTAGTTAGGTCATTTCGTAATAGGTCTGTTTAGGAATTAAAAGAAAATCAACAGTAAATTTCCATGTCTAAGTCAGCAATTGATAAAACACAGATGTGAGGCCATGACTGCCACTACCATGACCACCACTGCCATAACTGCCACTACCATGACCACCACTAGTAGGATGGCCTAATGGTTGGTCAGAATATCACACATATATATAATCACACGTGCAAGAATTAGGAACGTCTAACAGAATCACCACCGAGCATGAATTTCACCTTCTCCAATGCCCCGATTGATGATTTGGCTACGGATTTACAAGCTCAAATCAACTAGGTTACAAATCAAAACAACCTCCATCTAATAATTTCCCACTTCCCCAAGTGCAAGAAAATTCAATTTCCAGCTCATTAAAAGTTGTCTCATATCCAATCATTGGGGGGAATATTGGTGTACGAGCCTAGGTGGAAGTTAGATCTGACATACTTAAGTCCATAGGATTGTCACATTCACCTTGGCTCATAACCCTGTGAGATATATTCATTAATTTGGAAATTTTGGGTTTGACTCCATCTTTTTGGTATTTAACCACCAATACACCATTTTTTTGGAATTATCTTTTTTAATTACCAAATCATAGGTGGTAATCTAATCATTATATGTGATTTGGTAATTGAATATCTACCCACTATATTTAATTTGGTAATTAAAGATCACATGTCCATTTATTATTAGTACACATGTGAGTATGTTGTACATCCTTACTAGGGAGGACTTAAGTATTGTACATTAGAATAAGACATGTTCATTTACTGTTGACCCACATCAGTGATCAAATGGTGTATATCCTCACAATGAGACATATGTATTGTTCGTTATTTATTACTTTTCTGATTTTAAAAATATAGATTGGCGAGTTTGT